AGTGATGGCCGAGCAATGACAANAGTAAACAGCATTTTCTGCGAACCTGATTTCTAGCAACAAGTAAAAGCATCAAACGAAGTGTCTTGTTATAAGTCGCTACTCGCCAGGTTGGAATTGTATTAGTCTAGTTCCTTTGGAAATAATTTATATTGTTGTTTTACCGAAGTTTATGAATTTAGTAAGCATATTTAAAACTCAGTTTATTAATTAAACTAAAATGTAAATGTTATTCCCAGTAAGTGGATGTAGTTGTGCTTTTTTCATATTATACCCAATTAAGGCTCCTTTAAAAATTGTCCCGGTCATACAGAAAATATTCTCAAAACTAAACGTTAATGCAGTTGGTCCTTTGCTCACCACGCCAGGTGGAAAGAAATACTTAATTACAGCCATTTGTATGACGTCAAAATATCCTGATGCAATCCCAGTGAATGATATCTGGATCTGTTCAACACCTCCTAAAAGAACAAAGGAACGTAGTCCGACGTAACGAACATAAACTGCGCAGTCGATGAAAAAGAAGAAAGATGTCACTACATTCGGGTTACTAAGTTACGCAGTGGTGGAAAATACGAAACATGTCATTACGTTTGGACTACTAAAGGATCAAATTTCTAGTTTATGGTAACCCGTGCCAAGGCCTCTTTTCTAGGAGGTATTGATCTGTGTCGGTGACTGATGCACTAATAAATATTTTTTGTAGAACTGTTTTCCCACGAGATGTCCAGAGTGATCAAGGAACTTCTCTTATGAGCATGCTAACAATTGAGTTTTTTGATCGATTTGGTACAAAGGTTCGGCATAGTTCTATTTCATCACCCGAAGTCTAATCCCGTTGAAAGATTTCGTAAAACTATCAAGCAGATCTTACGGGTACTTTGTTTGGTGTCAGTTTCTAACTGAAAGAAGTATCTACGATTTGAACGTTTACAACTATAACGCATGAAAGTACGGGATCTTTCCCAGCAGAGTTAGTACACGGAAAAATCTGCGTACCCCTGACCTAAAATGTCCTCAGTGGTAGACAGATCATGGGTTAGACCCCCCATTTCCCTCAGGCTAACCGTGGAAGGTTTTTTTTCATCATATAACTTAAATGCAGGTTAGTTCCATAAAAGAGTCATCCACGAAGACAAATTTATGCCAATACTTGGTTCTGGAGTTACCTTGTCTTCTGGATTGGGTTCAAAGTTACAAGGCTACGGAGTGGAACATTAGTAGTCATAAACCCAAAACTGGGTCGGCTGTAATGGTAATAAATTAATACATATTGGGCCATGGTGGCTGACGGGATAAGGCGTTCGCCTTCCATTGAGTTCGAATCCCAGCGATGGCAGTCGGTACGAATTCCGCACCCGGCTTGCAACAACCTCATTGCTGAAGTAAAATATCCTCAGTGGGGGACGGATCATGGGTTAGAATTCCCTGGCCGTCAGATAAAGGTTTTCCTCTACATGTTTATCCAGGAGTTCCCTTGTTATCTAGATTGTGGTCAAAATAATTAGTTTGTTCGTTGTTGTTACTTATCCCCTTGGTCTAGAGCCCTAGTCCAAGTCCAGGAGATCATGTCGCATCAGCAAGTCATAGACAGTCTCTCCACCACTCATCAGCTGCCTCACAGAGGCACCAATGCAATTCGAAGGATGGGATGGAGAAGCGATGGCCGAGCAATGACAATAGTCATAAGTCTTTTTCCTTCGCTCTGAAGGTCAAACACTTTATATGGCCGGTCCTAAGTCTTGACAAAGCTGTTTGAGTAAATCTAGGACAAGTGCACTGCAAGGATAATCCAGGGCATTTGGCGACATACCAATCATGATCTGGTGGATGCTTCCACGCTGAATTCACCCTAGCTAACTTCAGGGAGTGAACCTCAGACACTGGTTTGTTCGTAAACCCAAAATTAGGTCTGCTGTTCAACGAATGTTACAAAATAAAGTCAATGTGTATTATCAATAATAATTAAGCATTAGTGTCAAAAATAAAATGGAGTTTTTGCGGCTCCCAAAAACGAATACGCATCTTTTCTCCTTTACTTTTGATTATTAGCATATTAAATTATTTTTAATTCTATCAAATACATATTACCAAGATTAAGTAAGCATCATTGTCGGCAATGGTAGTATGGCGATTTTTTACGTTTAGCCTAAACGAATTAGTTCCACTTCCCGTAAGTTTTGCTTTTAAATACTTTTTTTCTTTTCAATTACCGTTGATTTTAAATACGTCTAAAAAAAAAGCGTGTGGTATCAGAGAAATTTAAAAGTATGAATTTGGTGACGTTTGCTAAAACCTAAGGCACCTATACAATCAGAGCTAACCTATCAAGCATATATAGCGAATATAAAATAATTAAATACGTGCACAGAAGTAATTGTGAGCCGAAGTCAAAATTCCGGAAAATTTCTTGAGTTAGAAAAAAAGTTTAAATTGAAAAAAAATTCAAACATGTTTTTCTTCCTTTTTCTCAATATTTCTCAGTTTACTTAAAGTATTTTTAAAATTTTACACATACCTAACGATGACCTGGAGAAGTAATTAAAATCTACAAATATGTCTTTCCTTCTTGAGTTTATGCTTATAACAATTATTTACTGGTAAAAAATGAATATTAATCATGAATATAAGCTTATAAAGTATATATCTGGCTCTCCCTCACAAACAAATAAAATGTGTTTTAAAGTTCCACCTTTGAAAATTTGATTTCCGGAAACTTCTGTGATCAATGATTTTTTGAAACGTCTGAACCTTCGATCTCCGGATCACTGTTAGCGAAAAATCCGGATTTTTAGCCCTGCGTGCAACTAATTATTTTTCTACTTAAAAAGAGCTATTAGTAAAGAATTATCACTGATGATATCCTTAAAATATATGAAAATTGCATCGCCTATTGTAAAATTTANACGCACGCGCGATGGCTCTGAAACTTTATTAATTTGCATAATATCCTATAATTGACATTTGCTGCGAATTTCATTTGATTCTGATGATTCCTTCATGGTGTTGCATTTTCTACAAACAGCAGTTTATATATCTGGCTCTCCCTCACAAACAAATAAAATAAACTGTGTTTTTAAGTTCCACCTTTGAAAATTTGATTTCCGGAAATTTCTGTGATCAATGATTTTTTGAAACGTCTGAACCTTCGATCTCCGGATCACTGTTAGCGAAAAATCCGGATTTTAAGCTAGGCGTGCAACAAATTATTTTTCTACTTAAAAAGAGCTATTAGTTAAGAATTATCATTGATGATATCCTTAAAATATGTGAAAATTGCATCGCCCATTGTAAAATTCAAAACAATAGCTAATTCATATCCAACCAGAAAATCGGCCCCATATTTTTTTCTGGAAAATGAAAAAAAAATTTGAATTGCAAATTAAAGTCCTTGACGAGCCAAATCTAATGCAATGTAAATTTTGAAAAGCATCAGCTTAGTTTTATGCAAAATAAATAACTAAGTTGATTAATAAAAATTATAATAAAAGAAAATAATTATTTAAAAGAATTTAATTTCAAGCAAATATAAGTTGTCTGATAAAAACAACTGTCTGACATTGACTTTAAATTTCGTATAAATCGTGCACACTATATATAAATGTCAACATTCTTTTGCTTAATAAAATATTTTTTAATTCAATTTACAAATAAAAATAATCCTTATCTAAATTTTGAAAATAATTAGTGTACGATAATAAGTGTCTCGAATTAAGATAAAATCGCCCTGTTTAGATAGGCGAAGAACACAATATATGGCACTCCTCCAATTAAGTAAGCAGCTGGCAGTGGTTTAAATTTTTCAATTAGTAATATTTATTTTTAAGAATCTAATTTGGGATATGAATTAATGTTGGTAATTCACGCATCACCCACTACTTGCCGATACTGACTGTTGAGGGGAAAAGTTGCCCCGTGGTCACGAATCTACTCACCATGATTGGACAATTTTTAATAGCCCCTAGGAACGGAACAATATTCAATATATCTGAGAAATGGAAAATCCTAAGTAATCCTTTGATTAGCCTTTTACCAAAAGGCATTAGCAACTCTTAGGTTTTACTGCAAAAGTTTGGTCAATCAAAATTGAAACATTCAAATCCTAGGATTTATCAGACTTCAGGTTTTAACAGTAACATATGAACAATAGATAAGGAAACAGGTATTTAAATCTAAAAATTAACACTTGTAAATATTTTTGCTTCAGGCTTAAACGCCAGTGGCAACCCTATAAACCACATTTAGAATTATTAAACCAAATTTTGAGCAAAATAAAACTTTTTCCTGATTCTCTGGTCCACAACATAAGTACATGGGCTTGTGTAATCTGTACAACAAAAAAGTTGAAATTACTTCGCCAATGAATATCCCTGCTCAATATATATATATTATTATTAATGAGTTTTATTCCCGTATATATGTATTTAAATTGTACAATATGTACATTTCTTTTCTGTTCCTCAAACATAGTATTTTTTTTAAAAATATCTTAAGTCTTTAGCGTTCCTCTTACTTTTTTTCTCAACTGGGACAAACATCTTTCTATAATTTTCATCAATGATCTTCAAAAATTACAAATGGTTAGAAAAAAACAGTTCTAGCTCTCGAAATCCAGGGAACTTAACGAACTTTTGATTTCTAAAAGAAAATCGCCACTTAAACAATGTATTTTTAAATATTAATTTTTCTTATAGATATTAATTTTCTTAAATCACCATTTAAACCAATGATTTTGTAAATACAGTTATTTTGTATAATTATTAGCACTCATATTTTTAATATACCTTAGGGAGAAAAAAAGTTATTACTGAAATCAGACTAAAGAATGTATTGATTGTGATAATACTGGACAAAAATTATTTTACTTAATTTGAAACAAAAACAGGTGATTTAAATTATGCCAGCCCTGTAGGAAATTCAAAAAATTTTAAGACACAAACAAGCATCATTATTAATACAAAAATTAACTGTAGAACTATCATTCAACACAAAATCAAAGGTGAGTTTTTTCAATTATTTTATTAAATACAATTTTTCAAGTTATTCAGGTTTCTTCTTGAAAACTTTCTTTTTTGGGACAATTGGTTTCTGGCTTTTTATGATAGCACTTGCACGTCTAAGAGCCAACTGAAACAAAAATAACATAAATTAGTTATGTTAAAAAAAGATTAGATGCAGATTTAAGAATGCACTGCACAATAAAGATAGTACGCAAACTGAGCACAGGTTCTCAGATTCATACACTGACTAAGAAAAAAATCAGAGGTCTTGACTGAGATCAGACACAAAAGCCCAAAACATCCTAATTGATAAGAAAAAACTTCATTTAGTAAATACTTTTGTACACTTCAATACACTAAGTATCGATGATATGATTTGTTTTATTAGTGAATATATTTAAAACAAAAGTAAATATATTGGTATAATATATTTACTATATAAATTATATATTAAATATAAAGTAAATATATATCTAAAAAACCATGAGGAAAGTCAAGAAACAAACAGTTGCCGGGTGGATTTACAATTGAATAAATCTAAATTGTGCAAGTAAAAAAAAAACCATTAATCAAAAAAACTCACTTGCCACAATAACATCGTACGGATTATCAAAATAAGAAAAAAAAAGGTTGCAATAGCTGGAAATGACAAGGATGTACGATGGATTCGCTGTGAATCTTGTTTGTCACGTAATAACTCCAATTCGATATTTAAGTGTTGTAGTAATGTATTAAATACATCGGAGTGTGGAAAACCATTCCTAAAATATGATAAATAACAGCCAGAAAAACTATCATTAAACGACATCGGTTATGACAGAATTGCCGTAAATCGAAAGCCTTGAAGTGATAACTCAAATTCGAACGTCGTATTAAATCTTATAAAAACCATGCACAAACAGGCGAAAAATTATAAACTGAATTATAACTGCCGAAAAACTTTTGGAAAGCTTGTGCAGTATATATATTATCTAGTAGTATAGATAAGGTATATATCTGCATGCTACATCGATGTGAACTTTCCGAACGAAAAAATATCATCCCACAAAGATAAATTACAATGGAATCGCCATGAATTGAATATCGTAATAGCCTAATGTTCTTCATATGGGAATTTTATAAAAATGTTAGAGGCCAAATAACTGCCGAAAAACCAATCAAAATGTGATGGAATTGCCACGGTATTATTGTGTATGTAAACCAGATTTTACAATTACGTAGAAGCAGTTTACATCACAATGCTTGTTTGACAAATTTTTTTTTATTTAATTTACCAGCTAATACAAATGGTTGAAATTTAGGTTGATAGATGTAAGGTTGCCACTCAAATCTTGAAAAAAATTCCCTGTACGTATTATACACAATGAGTTAAGATGAAAGAATTACCGTGCTCTTGTATGAGCCATATTGGGCTAACTATACTAACTTTAGTTGCTGGAAAAACTTAAGAGTATAAGTAGGAACAGCTGAACATACTAAAATAATGCTGTAGTAAATGAAATAATTTAGTATAGCTGAAATAGCTTCTTTAAATATCTCATAGATTGCACTTTCGAGTGGTCACTATTTTCTAAAAGGTGAAAATAAAAAACAAAATTCCTTGCATTTTTCCTGCTAATTTTGGCAATTTTTAAATTCCCTGTCTTTTCCAGGTTTTTTCTGTGGAGTGGCAACATTGCATTGTATTACAATATCAGGACTATAAATACCACACACAAAGTATGGAGATTACCCCCCCCCCCCCAAAAAAAANNNNCCCAAAAAAAAAAAGATGGGAAAATAACTTGGACTTACGATGTAATGGATCCAAATAAAAAACTTCAAAAAGGGATTATTCAAATGTACGTTTAGAAACTGCAGAGTTGTAATAACAGCACAGTAAAAATAATGGGATCGTCAAAACTACATGGAAAAGCACAGCTAGCAATAATGGAAGAGAAAACTTTAAATTTTATATTAAAAATCAATATGGCAATAAGTAATTATTTAAATCTGCAGATTAAAATTAACGTCCTAATGGAAATCAGAATTTTTAAAACGCTGCGGGAATGCACAGCATTAACCGCCAAAAAATAACCCGAAGAAATGGACAGAAATAAACCGTGTGAAAAAGAAATCACTTCCCACTTTTAGTAAAAATTCATTGTAAAACTACACACGGAAAAGAGTAGCAATAACTGCCTTAAAATAAATTTTAAAAAAGGTCAAATCATTTATTATTATGCTCAAATTGGCATAAAACTAGCAATAAATTAACTATAAGGGACAAATAAAATGCACAATCTAAAACCCATGAGTCATAATATCATATTAAATATATCAGGATTTTAAAAAACATTATCAATAAAAATATAATCTTAACGTCACCTGTATTGATGATGATATTTTCGAAGTTAAGCAGTAAAAGTGATTGAACCTGCATTCTGCAACATTGCATTAAAAATATTGGGTTTCTTAAAACCATGCAGGATTCCATAGCAACAACTGAAAAAGCTATCAAAGCAAAAGACTGAAATGTTTCACTCATTGAACTACAAATTTGATTTATTACAATTCAAATCTCACGAAGAAAAGGTTTCGTTCTTTTTCATTGAAAACTATTTTATTGAAATAAAGGAAAATAAACAATAAGGGGAAATCTCACCATTTTAATGTCCTTCCTGTAACGGTTCTTATTTACAAACTTCTTTATGCTATTCATGGTTCTACGAGCATCTTTGGTAAGTGGAGTAACTTGTAAAGTTCTTGAAGGTTTATGATGATCTAAAAAAAGTACACAAAGGCAGGCTTAAAAAAAAGTTGTCAAAAATTACTGATAAAATTGTCTTACCAATAATAGCACACTTGCATTATTTTAATTTTATGAACTGCCTAACAAGAATGCTTCAAAAGAGCAGCCTAGCTTTAGTTATTGCACTGTCATAACATGTGCAGAAACATCTTTATGCTTGTTTATTATCTTTTTCTAACCAATCCCATCTAAATTATTCTATAGAATAAGACAAAAATTTTAACACAGAATTTTTTAAGGTTTAAAACATTTCAAAAACTTCATTTACACATTTAAGTAACAAACATTCTTATCGTTTTTGTATCTTATACATTTTGTCCTACATTTAGTAAAATGTCATTCAAAATGCTCTCAACATTGGAATCCTGAATTAACAGATATAAAAAAAATTGTATAATTACAGGGTTCCCCTTGTCAGGAAATGTTTTTAAAAGTGGTAGCATAAATGAGATATCTAGAAGTTTTAAGCTATCAATAAATATATAATTTGAAGTAAATATATATGGATACAAAAAATATGTCTGGAATAATTTCGTAATTTACAAATGAAGGAAAATTTAAGCATTTAGTAGCCTTTAGTAGTTCTTTTCTACCACTCACTTATTATTTCCAGGTAGTGGGAATCCTGAATTAATACATATAATTTTTTGAAATGATCAACTGATGATCTTTTAATTGATTAAATGATCATATTTAATCATTAAAATTTATTATATTCAAGAAACCAACTTCTAGAAAGAAAGAAAAATAAAAAAGAATAGGGATCCAGTCTCCAAAGCCTAGCTTTAACAGAATCCAGGGATGAAAGTACCAGTTAGCAAAAAAAGCTGAATTCTACAAAAACGCAATCAAGCATTATGAAATTAATAAATATATGGAGCTTAAAAAGCTTTGAAAAGACCATATATTGTGCCAACCCCCTTTACTTTTGAATGAAGTGAATTTACAAACACGGACAAATAATTCAGTGTTTGTTTAAGCGAAAAAGAATAGTATAGCATGCTCTTTGAGTTTTAAAAAACTAGGAGAAAAAATGTTGGACCTTTGCACACCAAATATTAAATCAACAGAAACTTCCCAAGAATCATGTATGGCTACAAATTTCCTTATAATTTTCGGTATGAGTCATAGCATTAAAAAAAATATATTGGAAATTGTCAATTTTTGGTACTGAAGAATAGTTATATAGGCCTTTGTGTAAGCCCATTCTTCCTCTCTACATCTGAATAAAATTCTGATTTGCACAAAATAGCAAATGAAAGAAAAAGCTTTGAACCCCACACAAATTTCGGATTTATCTGTAAAAGTTCGCAAATATGGAATCTTTTCCAAAAATTTCTCTAAACACAGAAAAATTATGTGCTTAAGAAAGAAACTGAAAAATTACTCAAAACAGAGCAGATTTATTATGTTCTTACACCCAATTTTTGTAGATTTTTTCTCGCTAACCACTTATGGAACATTCTTATTGGTTCCATTTCTGCAATATGTCAAAAATGGAATAATATGACATCTCTATTAAATCCAATGTTTGATGACTTCTTTCTCACCTAACCCTTTCGGGAGCATTCTTACTTCTACAAATTAAGTCGTACATTGAAATTGGAAACAAATACTACACCCCAATTAAATTCAAAGTTGACCTGTATTACAGTTATTTTATTTTTTACACGCATATCATAAATAAAAAAATAGAAACCGATATTAAATGCTTTTCTTCCCCCAACTTATAAAAATACAGCAATATAAACATACATCATAAAGTAACACTAGAACAAGTACTATAAAGTAACACTAGACACGTACATGATAAAAATAAAAAACAAAATGAACACATTGAAGATACTAACTTATAAAATTTGTAGCCCATTTCTTTCCGTCAAAATTATACCAATCTACAATCATTCTTAGTCCAATCTTTAATGAATAAAAAACTGACTCTACAGTCATTAAATCTTTCCACATACTAAACTCTTTACCCATGATAAAGCAAAATCAATATTATTCCCAGACTAAAAATTGGTAATTTTAGCAGTTGCCACTTGCTAAATAAAGTAGCCTCCCAAAAAATTACCAGCGTTTGGCAGATAGATTGACAAGAAACACCAAGACAATTCTGCATTTTAAAAAATATTTATTTTTGGTATAAATCTATACCAGACAATCGCACAAACTTAAAATAAACACACTGTAGTTTAACACTACAATACAATTCTAATTCACTAATATATAGCTTTTTCCCACATTGGGGACCTTTGGAAGTGATATGAACTCTCCCATATCAAAAGCAGTGCCCACTTTGATGGATAGTACACATTGAACTATTGACTTTCTACATGCAACTGCATCATTGTCCTTACAATGTTGCTGCTCAGTCTATCATCGCACACAGTGATATTCTGCACACATCCGACCGCTAATAGCAATGCACAAGCGTGAAGTTAATACGGCTCTCATAGCTAATGCTCAAAACCTGATGAACTCAATACAGCTCTCAAAACACAGTGAACTTAACACAGCTTTCCTGGTCTTTTGCAAAAAAACAGCAAAGAATCAACTAGCGGTCTTCGTTCATCGAATTCTATCACAGACAAAATTTTGGTGGGGAGGAATGTAGTGTAATTTCCACTAAAATAATACAATTTCTAGTCACTAGTATATCAGACATGTTAACTCTATCTAGGGGTTACCTTCTGATAGATGACAGTTGACATTGTTGATAGCCTTTCAACACATCACTATTATGCCTGTGAAATACATGTGCAGTGTTTAAAAGTGGATATGAAAATCTACTTATAACAATTTCCCCTTAACCTTAAAAACACCAGCATTGCTAATTCAAGGAAATCGAAAAAATCCCCAAAAAATTAGTGAATATGCACAACAAATCAGTACAGCTATTTTAGCATAATTCACTCTAAAAAAAATCACACATGCATGCTTTATTAAAAGCAGCATCTTTTTCATTTAATCCACCTTGTTGTAAAAAAAAAAAAAAGAAAACAAAGAAAATATTATGGTGGCCTCAGTTTTAACACAAAAGTTTAAGAATTTGCAGATCTCTTTATGTATTAATTGTTGACAGGGGTTTGTTTAGAAGAAATTTGGGTCCGTTAACGGACCGTTCACAAAATATCTTTTTATAAAAAGGATCCTTCAAATTTTTTTTATCTTCATTATTGTTTTGTTAATTGAATAAACCCTTCCCAGGGCAGAAAACAGGATGGATGTATATGAATTAAGTTTTGTCCTCTGCAGAAAATTCTCCCATTATTCGTTCGAAATTAATATTCTGCGTCCAGCAGTATAGGCTAAATACCAAATATTTGTATGTTGCATCTCTAAATTAGAAGCAGCAATTGCTGTTTATTTTTGAAAATTTTATTTTTTTAATATAATTTTGCAGTGCAGAGCATAATCTTGTATCTATTTAAAATTTAAAAACTCCTTGAAGTTTTTTGCAACAACCGGACCCTATTTGCACAAGTTCATAAAAGCAAGACCCTGGTTGAAAGAAGGTAATTTTTTCACAAAAACCGGACCTTTCACAAAACTTTACACAGATACTATGTCAAGTCACTGTGTATTATTTTGTAAATGAATCTGGAAGTAAAGTAAAACAAAAACTAATAAACTTCATAAATACAGAGTGAAATTATATTTTGGGCACTATGAGCAATATTCTATATTCCCTTGGATTTCATAAATTGAAATCGTCAACACAAATGCAATGAAGAACCACGTCATCATCGGTCAACAAAGCGTTAAAATATTCATTTTTCCAAGAATTTCACGATCTAATTAAAAATATAATAGATCACAAAACAATATACATATTGCAGAGTTAAATTCATTCTTCAATACTAAAAAACTATTGAAATCACTGGAAAGATACAAAAAAAATCAATAACTTTTACATTACTCACAATGTTTCTTCTTGAATACGAAGTTCACCCCCTTGTTGCTTGGATGAGGATCTACCATCAAAGCATTTTTCTGAATTGTGCCACAAAATCTAGGAGAATGTATCTTTTTCATGTTCAGTGGATCCTAAAAAAAAGTTTCTGATAATTTAAAATTTAAAAAAATTTTCCTATGAAAAAAAAATTTACGTAACTTTTTTTTAAACAAGAGCCCCGTGGCAGAATTTTTTCGGGCTTTCTGCGACAAACTTCCCTAGCATTAATATATTTTTCTTTAAAATAATTTTAATTATAACTATTACTAAATTAAAGTAACAGAAACGTTGTGTTTACACAAGATAGTATAGAATAAAAACATATAGAAAATTTTAATTGTAAAAGTAATATTTTTTTGAATTCTAATATTATTGGCACTTTCTCACATTTTGCAGGTGGAAAAATGACATTTCCCCTTTCTAATTTTGCAAATCATTACAAAACTTAAATTCATAAATAAATTAAATAATAGTAAATTAGAACTTGTACATAAATTAAGAATCGTAAAATTCATGTAGTAATTTCAAAATAAAGATAGACGACAAAATCACATGAATGGGACTAAAATGTATCTGCAAAAACTCTAACGTTCTCCGACAATGTCGCCGTAATTCTGCCACGGGGAACAAGAGTATTTAACCAAAAAATTATTAAACTGCTGGTTCAACAATAACTATTCTACCTTTATTTTTTGCATCAAAAGACATGAATTTTAATTATCAGGAGACTTACAGTTGTGATTAAGGTTTCAAATGTAATGGAACACATAAAATTTAATGTCCAACAACCGCATAAAGTAACTCAAACCTATGAATTAAAAAACTACACTTACTGCTTATAAAAATAAACATTTGACTATACATTTTTCATAAACATTTAATTTTATCCAGCTTGCTGATCAGGATAAAAAAGATAATAAGTGGAAATTAATAAAATAAGTAGATCATAAGTAAAATCAGGGATGACTTTATAAAAAACACTTTTTTAACTAATTTCATGGAATCTGGACCTCCAATTCATTAAGTTTCACGCCTTTCAATAGTCCTTAGACATAAATTTTCATAGCAGGGTCGACACTAAGTATTCATTAGAACATGTTTTTCATGGATGAGCACAGTTGGAAGCTATAAATCTATTCAATCTCTACTAATTTGTATAACGAGTGGAGATCATCAAAAAGGCTCAACGGAACGGAAATTTTGTATTTCCTTTTCACTTTCATTATTAGTGGGGAATATTATTTTTCTCTCATATAAAAATATTTTTTATCAGATTTTAATAAAAATTATGCTGCAAAGAAACCTGTCGCCGGTCCATAATGAATGACAAAATAATAATGAAACCTGCCTTTCTATTAAGCAAATCAATACCAGATTTACATTGAAAAATACTAAACATAATAATACTGAATCCCAAAATCTGTATGATTAGAAACTTAATAAAAAAACTTATTTCAACCACAACAAAATTGAATACCTTAAGACTAGCAATTACATATAAAAAACATAACTTTTCATAGCATGCTGTGGTCAATGTTACAAGCTGAAAGGAATGTTAGCTGGCCATAAGTTTAGGGGGAAAAGTAGCATAATTATTGCAAGTCAGGTGGTGTTAATACATGGTTTATACTTTTTTTGAAATAAAAAGAAAAGGTTACAATAGAGGGACGACAGTAATATTTTAAATGGCCACTTTTTTTACTCAACTGGCAAATAGCTACCACTATTCTTATTTAAATGAGAAAAGAAAAATTTAATAGAGAGAAAAAGTATGGAAGGTTAACTGAATATGAACAAGAACAGGCTTCTAAAAACTAGAAGGAATTTTGAAAACTTCCGGTGTATCTTTGTTTTTGTTATGCTTACAAGGCAGTGTTTTCATTACAGAAAAAAATGGAAGAGAATTTCTCATAAACAGGGTGATATTTCAAAAAGTTAAGCGAGATTTCTAAAAATTAAAAAAACAAGAGTTGACTTGGAAAAAAATTATTTCTTTAATTATAATACATTTTTTACATCTTCTAAGTATTTTTGCTGTATCATCATATGGAAAATGTTCTGTATCTACTTTTTCATCAGTTATTATATTTATTTGACTGAAAAATATCCGTATTTGTTTCGTTTTGACCGTTTCTACCGACATTTGTTCAATTTTCATTCGTTCGCTACGGAGTTGAAGATGCCGCCTTAACAAGGTATTTGTCCATCTTACATTCATGCACAAAAAATTTTTAACATCTGACATGAAGAAACCTTACCTAAGGTGAACATGTGGCTGCAGAGAAATGTGTTCAGAAAGGGGTTTGGGGGGGGGGTCTGCTGTTTACATTGGTTCTGAACAATACTGGTAAGTGGGGAAGCTAGATAACAAGGACTGATTTTCAAAATAATGAAAGATCAAGTAAGAAAAGTGAAACGGATTTCATTCAAAATGGCAAAAGTCTGAAAAAAGTATGTGAGATTCTCGCGATGTAGTGAAAACACTGCAAGGTGATGTGTAGACAGGTTTAATGTTCCAGGATGTTTTATTATTATGATTAGAACTTAACTTTACATTTAATTTTACCATTCATAAGTTTTCTATAATTTACACAAAATTCATGCCAAAATAAAAATTAAATGTAACATTTTAGGCGAGATTACTATCGAACTAATTTTGTGTAAAATGATGCTGCTCGTAGTTTTTACAGAAGCAAAGCAGGCTTGAGGAGTTTTTAGAATTAGTTTGCTGTTTGATTCGTTGAAAGTAAAAACGAAAGAACACATTACATTAAGAGCGCTTGAAATATAATATTAGATGACGTGCTTTTTAAAGCTTAGACAAAAAGAATTGAATCGAACGATATAACTAGGAAATCTCATGAGGAATTTTAATACCAAGCGGCATACGCGCTTATCATAATACTGTTAACCATCCATATGAAATACATCAGCCATTGTGTTAACATAATAGCTTCTGGACATTATGGGGGGGGGGAAGCTGAATGAGAAATAAATTAAAAAACTAAACTAACTAAATTTCATGAAAATCGTTTCTGTGCTACCTAGTACGCCCCGGCAACTTCAGGGTTATGGCACATGCAGAAACTAAATAAAAATCAAGATATGAGAATCAACACAACTTCTGACTAACATCAGGCAAACTAAAGTTTAAAATCAATTTGAAGCCTTGACGATGATACGATAGATCAAGATACAGAAATGTCCCCCTGATATATTTAAAACAGCGATTGTGAAACAACTAATATATTTAAGACATAAGTATTAATATTTACTTTTACACATGTTTTAAGCAATACTACTTTATTGATAAAATTTGTATTGTTAGGGTGAATTTCTGTATTATTATGGTGTACAGTATTAAAATAATATTTTAAGATAGATAAAATTTAATGTTAATTTTTAAAAAAATTTTGCGACAACCATGACATCTTCAGAAAAAACGAAGCGAACAAACTTCAACTAATATATAAATACCCTTAACAAAAATATTATTGGGAACTAAATAATTTTATTTACCAAGCTGAAATGCTTCTTAATATTCCTTTTCTTTACTAAAAAACTGGAACAGTTTCTAACTATCATCCAGTTCAAATGATTGTGATTATGTCCCACCATTTTTAAGGATCCTATAAAGAAAATAGGAAGTTAAAATTGTAAGCAAACAAATATTACTTGGATGCAAAGAAATTCTAACTAAGAAATATATATAAAATTAGAAAGTACAATTTATAAAACTTACCACGTGTGTACTACGAATCACGAAACTGCAACACAATACTAATAATCGGAAATGGCGATTTGAAGTCTGAGGTTGATGCCAAACTATAAAAAGCGGATAGTTTTATTATTATTTTAATTTTTGCGCATATTACATAATTTAATTTTTTTCCACTTTTTTAAAACTCTTCTTTTTGTGAAATATATTAATTATTTAATGTTTGATATTGTAAAAAATGATAACCAAAACTTTTTTTCTAGAACTGAACTGAAATAAATATTTTGTTTATTTACATCTGAATCTCGCTTGCACGTTGGAATCTCTCCTCTTCTCTGAAAGTTTTCAATCAAAATGAATTAATTTATTCAAGTATTTTTTTTTTAATATAAAAAGAATTTAGATAGAAATTTATTTAACAAAGCTTTCTGAAATTTATAATAAATTGTTAAAAATTACATTTCAAAACTCGATTATATAGATAGCACAATCTTTAAACAATGATCAGTATATATGATGTAGATGCCGATATTATCTCTAAAGTGGTATAAATCGTCTTTTCCTTTTATGATTGCTATTTTACTATTGTTACTTATGTACAGTAGTTTCATAATTCTGAAATAAGGGAAATTTACTAAGATGTAAATTTAAACATTGCGAGGGAAACCTTTCGAAGTAATCGGACAGCAACATTTCATATCTTACAGTTGAAAGAGTTATTAAATTAGGCAATTAGTTATGAAAAAAATATTTGTCTGTAGGTTTGTATTTGAATAAGCGAGTTTCATTACTTTATGCATTTATTAAGTGTACAAAATTTTTGAAAAAGTCAAGATCGTTACTATCGTATGTACATTGTAATTAAATGAATAGCTTAAGATATGCCGCATACACTACTAGAGCCGAAGAAAGGATAAACAACTGCTGAAAAAGCTTTTGCGTTGTTCTAAAACGTCCGTGCTGAGATACACATTTTCTAGTATTACAGAATACACACGAACTGTGCGAAATACTCAATATAATTTGACGACGTGATATTATACAATGGAATCGTGAAAAATTAAATGTCGTGATAATATTGTATAAAAAAGTATTAGAAATTGAAAGAGCCGATGAAATAAAAAATAACTGCCCAAAAAACCTGTAATAAAATGAGGAGAAATTGGAGTAGTCATAGATCGAGAGTGTCGAAAAGTGATAACACATTGTAATTACATCTTATTAAAAATATCGGAATTCAAATGACCACATGAAAAGAGCCGGAGAAATGAAACTATCATCAAAGGATCCAATTATGATGGAATCATCATAAATTGGACACTTCAAAAAAGTGATAGCTGAAGTTAAGTTCAAAAGCTGAATGTTGTAATAACATACTAAATGTGTGGGAGAAACATGAAAAAACGATTAAATATTGCCAAAAAAATGCTGGGAAAACCATGTCAATGTACAAAAAAAACAGTAAATGCCAAAGTAAATCTGTTACAAAAGGCATGCAGGGCGGGAATTTTTCATTCTAAGGGTAAATCGGTCGCTCCATTCTAAAAACACCATCTGGAATGAACACTGATACTTTTTTTTGATAAATATATTGTATGAATGGTGTTTGTTTGTTAATTTTTTAACAATGAACTTTACGAAATATTGCAACAATATTTAAATCTCTTTTATTCACTTTGTCCATACTCTCAGATTTTTTTTTTTCGCCCTTAGAGTTAATCCTCAGTCTGCAATTGATCTCAGTGTTCGGTTTATTCAAATTTTGATTTAGTTTTGACAGTGTTTTCACTTTAACGCGAGAATCTTGCATATTTTTTTCTTTTCTCGCAATAAAAAATGATTAACGCTCGAATTTTGGAAAAAATTTCGTCTTTTGCCATTTTGAATAAAATCCGTTTCACTTTTCTTCCTTGATCTTTCATTATTTTGAACATCGGTCCTTGTTATCTAGCTTCCTTGTTATCTATTGGGTTGGAGGGGAAGTTCTGTCGTCAATCAATAGTGATGTTTTGCAATCCATGTTGGAAAATAATCCACATTTAACAAGTCGACAAATTGCAGAAGAGTTTGGCATTCATCATACAACTGTTGGAGATCACATTAAATCTCTTGGGTTTGTGTTAAAGCAAAGTGTTTGGGTTCCACATGAAATAACGGAAAAGAATTTATCTGATCGTGTAAGAATGTGTTCATCACATCTGATTAGAGACAATGTGGAGCCGTTTTTGGACAGGCTGGTTGCTGGAGATGAAAAGTGGAATCTTTACGAGAATATTAAGAGAAAAAAATCCTACTGCAAACCAGGAACATCGTCAGCAACAGTTCCAAAACCAAGTATCCATCAGCGAAAAGTACTGCTTTGTTTGTGGTGGGACAGGAAAGGTCCAGTGTACTACGAGTTGCAGAAACAGGGAAAAACCATCAACGCGGTTCTGTACTGCAATCAGCTAGATAAATTAAAAGCAGCTATCAAAGAAAAAAGGCCAACATTAGCGTCCAGAAAAGGAATAGTGTTCCACCACGATAATGCTCGCCCGCATACTGCAATGGTGACACTTCAAAAACTGAATGCGTTAGGATGGGAAATCCTTAGTCACCCACCGTATTCACCTGACATTACACCATCAGATTGTTATCTGTTCAGATCTCTGCAAAATTATCTAACGGGTAAAAAATTCAAGTCTTTTGTAAGTGTTTCTAAGGCAGTTGCTGACTATTTCAATTCTAAAAACGAGAACTTCTACAAAACAGGAATTCACAGGTTACCTGAAAGATGGCAACAGGTTGTAACAAATAACGAAGCATATAAAATTGATTAATATTTAACGCATATTTTTATAAATGAATTCAAATATTTTCTTTAAAATACGACAGAACTTTCCCTCCAACCCGCTTCCTTGTTATCTAGCTTCCTTGTTTACCAGTATTGTTCAGAACCGGTGCGAAAAGCAGAACGCCACCCTCCCAAACCACAGAATCCCTTTCAGAACACATTTCTCTGCAACCACATGTTCACCGTAGGTAAGGTTTCGTCATGTAAGACGTTTACATTTTTTGTGCATGAATGTAAGATGGACAAATACCTTGTTAAGGCGACATCTTCTACTTTGTAACGGGCAAATGAAAATTAAACAAATGTCGGTAGAAACGGTCAAAACGAAACAAATACAGATATTTTTCAGCCAAATAAATATAATAGCTCTTGAAAAAGTAGATATAGAACATTTTCCATATGATGTTGCAACAAAAATATTCTATTAGAAGATGTTAAAATGTATTATAATTAAAGAAATAATTTTTTTCCAAGTCTATTCGAGTTTTTTTAATTTTTAGAAATCACACTTAACTTTTTGAAATCTCAGCCTGTTTTTGAGAAAGGGTGAGAAATTCTCTCCCATTTTTTTTCTGAAATGAAAACACTGTTTTACCAAAACAAAGTAAGGGGAATTATTTTAATCTATCTTGTATGCAATGTAATTTTATTCTTTATTATATAAACCTATGTTTCTTAGGATAATTTATAGATTGAAATTTACTCCTAAATTAATTATAAGATTTTATAAATTTGATATTCTTTCAACTTTTGGTATCTCTTATATTTAGAAGAAAGAATAATTTAACTAAATTAAAAAATGAAACTGTTTTTTTTTTTTTTATACTTAGTTTTTTTTTTATACCTAGCATTATAAAGTAATTGCAAATTTATTATTCTGGAAATGCTTAACTTAAATTAATTCTGTTTTAAAAATTTCTGAATTAAGTTTTTTATTGTTGTTGAATTGAAAATCTGATGAAACTTAATATTGAACCTATTTTATTTTCTTTAGCTTAATACGTTTGAACTTATTATGAGAAATTTGAAAGTGCGTGGTGGAAAAAATGTTTGTAAGACCAGGCATTTAAAAGATTTTTACAGCACAGTAAACGTCCATCAGTTTACATCTGGTAAATATATTGAGATTTTTTTTTTTTAATTTTCTCTTTCTCCTTTTAATTTGATTTAAAATCAAATATATTACCTGCCTTCTATGTATTTTAGTTTCTTATTTTTGTAATTTTATTCATTGTTTTGTCTTTTTTCTTTTTTTTTTTTGTTAGTGTTTAGTATAAATGAAATTCCTAAATAAAAGCTGGTTTAGGAAAAATAATTTGAATTGCTTAAAATCATACTTTTAATTACTATAGTTTTGAATAATTTAATTTATTGACATCGACTTCTAAAAAAAAAGATTGTGCGTCTAAAATTGCCTATGATTTAAGTTTTAGAATTTACAGAGTCAATCTGTGGTGCAATATGTTCAAAATTTAAAGTTTGTTTGCAACCTTAATTCAGTCAAGCAGAGATAATTAATGTAAAAATTAAACTTATCTAATGCATATTTAATACAATTTGCCAATATTAAAGATAATAAGCAAATAAATTTTATTTAATTTGAATTGGATACAATCATGCATTAGCTTTGCCCAAAAAGAGGATGCTTATACTAAACTAAATAAAGAAATCAGAAAGAAAGATTTAACATGCAGAATCAAAATATTTAAAAAAAAAAAAAAAAAATTTTTCATTTTAAAGGAAGAAATGAATGAAATATTAATTTATGGTTTTCTAAATTGAGCACTTTTAAAGTTTCTTCAAATAAACTCAGACTGATTTCACAGACACTTTGCTGAGAAATAAAAGACGAATAAGAAAAACGAACCTTATGAAATATCTTTTTTTGGTTTAAAATTTTAATAAAATAATAAATATTCCTTATTTTTCNAAAATATTTTAGACAAAAACTTTAATATCTTTAATTTTAAGCTTTGTTTCAAAAGTGCCTGATTTTACCACCACTTTCCCCCACCTGACCCTATTTAATACAATTTGCCCATATTAAAGATATGTGAATAAGCAAATAAATTTTATTTAATTTGAATTGGATACAATCATGCATTAGCTTTACCCAAAAGGAGGATGTTTTTACTAAACTAAATAAAGAAATCAGAAAGAAAGATTTAACTTGCAGAATCAAAATATTTAAAAAAAAAAAAATTTTTTTTCATTTTAAAGGAAGAAATGAATGAAATATTAATTTATGGTGTTCTAAATTGAGCACTTTTAAAGTTTCTTCAAATAAACTTAGACTGATTTCACAGACACACTTTGCTGACAAATAAAAGAGGAACAAGAAAAACGAACCTTATGTAAATATCTTTTTTTGGTTTAAAATTTTAATAAAATAATAAATATTCCTTATTTTTCATTAAGTATGATAGAAATTTTTCTTTTTCTTTATTTTTTATTGTTTTCAGATTTTTATTGCTTGTAATTTTTTATCCATTCTCTCCATGGATGTTGTTGTTTTTAAAAAATCTGAGGTGGGAAATAGGCTACTGGGCTAGTATATTTTATTATATCAATAATAATATAAATGTAACTACATTATTTTTTATTTATTTTTTTACATAAAAGGTTTTCCTTTATGTTACAGCATCTATAATGTAGTTTATTAGAAGTTTCCTTCAGCTTTATTGCCTTGTTTCAATACTAGTCAATATTAATTTTTACTGTGTTAACATAATTTTTTATGCCTGTCTATTTAGCATTCGTCTTTTTTAGGTATAAGAATGGGAAAATATTGTTATGATTTAGTGATCAAATGCATTGCAAGTCACCGCTATGAAGAAGCAATTAAATTGTATTGGATACTTTGTCACGATAAAACCATTATAGATCATGCACGATTCAAAGTAAGATTATCTTGAAATATTAACTACATTGATTAAGTCTGCTTATTTCATTTCTTATAAGTTATGAGTAATTCTAAGTAATTTCTATAACTTTGAAAAAAATGTAAGGTCACTATAGAAAAAAAAAACAGAGAATACTCATAAATTTTTGTGGAAGAGGGAAAATTTTAAAGAAAATTTAAAAAAGGAAAAAAATCTGCTAAATCTTGATTTAAATTGCATCATTGTAGTAAAATGTAGACAATAAAGAGAAATGAGAAAAAAAATAAGTTCAAAACTACTGGACTTTGAGAGAAAAAACATGAAATGAATGAATGAAAAATCATTAGAAAATCGAAAATTAAGTCAAAAATAAATTGGCTGACAAGAAAATAAAGTAATAATCTTCAGTATTTAACTTTGAATATTTTTAATCTTTGTATTCATAATTATATAAAAATAAATATACTAATCATATTATTAATACTGTTTATTACAAACTTTTAATTAAAGTTACTTGCGCTTAGCAATTTTTATTTCTAACTTCTCTGAAGCAATATTAAAAGTTGTTTAATAGGCCGCTATTAGGAATATTTTCTTTTCTTCATATTTTTATGATATTTTGTAAATTAAGTTGCAAAACAGTTTAACAAAATAAGAAATATTTAAATGCTAGAAAGGAGAAAAGATCAGTTGTAAATTTCCAATTCATATAATTCCTAACAATGACATCGGATTATCTACTGAACTTTTTTGACTGAAGAAAATATTGAAACTATAAAATTGTCACATTTCTTTGAGTAAGAAATGAAATTGTTATATTTCTTAGAAAGAGTAGTCAAAATTAGATTTTTGGGTATTTTAATTACCCCCGTGGCAGAATCACGGCGACATTGTTGCAGAATGTTACAAAGGTTCTTGCTGAACGATTTTTCCTTTAGAAAGTAAAAAATTTTGGTTTTCTTTTCTGCAAGAAAATTTTTTTTTCTATAAAATTATGTTTAAAAGATGCCTTTTTCGTGCATGGGGGGGGGAGTGCTCTTAATTTTTCGATTCTTATTTGAGAAGAATGAAAAATAAAGCATATTGAAGCAAAAAATTTCTTTTCTGCAGAAAAGTTTGAAAGATTTTTTCCCCTCCTCAATTATACTCAATAGTGTCTGTATTGTCAATAGTGTCTGTATACTTATTAGTGTCCGTATTGTGTCTTTTTCACGCATCAGATTGGAAGAAATGCTCGTGATTTTTTTTATTATTATTATTATTCTCTTTTGGGAAAAATAAAAAGTATTTTGGTTTTCTTCTCTTCCACTGATTTTATGATTTTTAATTATTATTTTTTTATGTTAAGATGATTTATGAAATGCGATAAAAGAAATAATTAGTGTGTTTTCCTCTTACAGGGTTGCCACTCTACAGGGAAAACCTGGAAAATACAGGGAATTTGAAAATCACCTAAAATAACAGGGTAAATGCAGGGAAATTTGATTTTTCTTTACAAACAGAGAATTTTGTTTCTTATTTTTGTCTTTTAAAAAATGGTGACCTTTCAAAGTGTAATCTATGGGATATTTAACTATGATATTTCAGCTATACTAAACTATTTCATTTATTATAGCATTATTTAAGTATTTTCTACTGTTTTTCCAACAATCAAAACTAATAAATATTGTTAGCCCAATATAGCTCACACAAGAGCACGCACAGTAATTGTTGTTTCCTCTTAATATATTGTGTATAATATATACAGGAAAGACACAGGGAATTTTTTTTTTCCTGATTTGAGTGGCAACCCTGTCTAACAAAATGTGAGAATACCGCCCATGATATTAGAATAAAAAATATATTACATATTTGTTTTTTAAAAAAATGCATACAATTTTATTAATCCAAATAGGCTTTTCTTTGTAAATACAATGTTTCTGTTACTTAAAATTTAATTAATAACATGTATGTTAGTTATTATTAAAAGTATCTTGCAGAAAGATATTAGTGCTAGAGAGGTTTGCCGCAGAAAGCCCAAAAAAATTCTGCCACAGGGTTTTAACATTAAGATCTCAACACATTTAAAATGTGTTGAGATCTTAATGTTTTGTTTTTTCTGAATAATATAAATCTTATCACTTTTAAAGTTTAACAATAAAAGTTATGAAAGTTTTTCCCAGGCAAGGGTGTTAATTAAATAAGCTAACTTCTTCAACTTCTATTGTGATTGAGTTTCGTCTTTTATTTTTTGCTTAACAGCGATAGGGAAAACTCAGAGACCTTAATTTTGGAATATGTGTGTAACAACTCTAAAATGTGACATAAAAGTCATGTAATTATTTAATTAAAAGTATAATTGATCAGTTTGTACTCAATTTCATTATTGATTCGAAAAGTTAAATGAATTTTGATTATAACATTGAGGTTTCTACTTCTAATAAGTTTTTAAAGAAGCATTTATCAAATTTTTATCAAATTATTATTTAAAATTTTTGGAAAATTTTAAAATTCTCTAACTTATTACAAAATAATAAGCTGCCAAAAAACTTTTTTCTTTCTCTACTCTGTATACTTTACCACTTGGGGTCTAACTTTAATATAATTAATTTAGTCTGGGGCAATTTATCTTTCAAGTATTAAACTTTCTTATACCATGCATTATTTTTTATAAACAATATATATAAAAGGGTAACAAATTAATACTTTTCCAATATTATTTCATTTCTGTCAATTAAAAATTCCATTAATTTTTTTAAATACTTTATCCAAACCCTTATGATTGCTGTTTGATTTTTTTAAACTCATTTTTCCGTATTTAAGGTCTTGATTTATTTCTTAAACTTATTTTATCCAATATTTTATTTTAATGTAGTTATCAATGAAATATCATTGTTAAAATTAGGTGTGTTTAAGACAAAAAAAAAATATATATATATATATATATATATATACTGTTCTGTAATAATATTTTGTTCTATTTATTAAAATTGTTTTTATCTTAGAACCCAATCTGTTTACCTGTACCTTTTTTTTAAAAATTATTATTATGTTTGAAACTAATTATATTAAAGGCAAAAATTGTAATATTTTAATTTATTATTATTCTGTTTTATGTTTGTTAAAATTTTTTATAAGCTTTAAAATTATGCAATCTGCAATAATTACTTTTTATAATTTGTAAAAAATATAGTTTATCTTAGATCTCAATCTGTTTATTACCTTATTTTTTAAAATATTTTTAGTTTTGAAAATGGCTTTGTAAAAAGCAAACATTTCAGTGTTATAACTGTTATTAGTTATCATTTTTATTATTTTATTTCACATTTGTTACATTCTTTAAAAGTTTTAAATTTTTATATCTCCTTAGCAATACGGGTGAAGGAAGATTCTTATTTAAAATAATAAGAAAGTATTCCAAAAAATTTTATCTTGCAAAAATTGTGTTGATAAATGTAATAAGAATTCCACCTTTCATAAATCTGATCATGAAGTGGGGACAATTCTGAATTTGAAATAAGTTGCTAAATGGAAAGTGCTTTCCACCCCACCCCCCTCTCCAAATTAGGAATTTTTAAATTCTACAAACTATAAAAAAATATCATTCACTTAAGTTCGTAAGATTAATTTATATAAATATATATATAGAAAGTTAATATAATTTTAATATTGAAGAATTTTTCAATATCAGTTATTAGATTTACAAATAATTTTGAGTATTTGTAAATCTAATGGCTGATTTGATTAATACAATTTTGTTTAAACTGTTAGATAACTACTCGAATATGTTTTTTACCTTTTAAAAATCCTTTCAGAAGTTTTACGTAAACTAAATAGTGTATAGAAATAAATGAAATTGCTAACAAAAAATGATTCAATAAAAACCATTGTAGCTTGTAAAAATTATGGAATGAAAGAAGTCATGATAATGGAAATTTTTTTATGTGTAATTACATAAAAAAAAATGCATATATTTAGCCAATATTTAGATTCGTTTTTGTTCTTTTATTCTTTTCTTTTTTCCCCTGTCTATATTTCAAATAACTGTTTTAATAATGAATTTGGATAATGTTTTTTTTAAATTTTGTTTTATTAAATATTTACTGAAAAAAAATATTTAAAGATTAAAACTACACTTTTTTTTCTTTTTTTGAATTTGAAAATAGATGAAATTTTTTGATTTCTAAATTTTAAAGTGTTGAGTATTAAATAAGATTTTTTTAGGATTGACTTTTTTTTTTTTTTTTTTTTTNTTACTTTTTTTTTTTTTTTTTTTGCACATACAAATGTTTTTCTTCTAAATTTTAATTTGTCGAGGTAACGAAATATTTTTACAACACTATTGTTTTTTCTTGTTAATTTATTTTAGAAGCAAACAAAATTGTACTTCTTTGTAAAGATTAATTGTAAAGATTATTTCTAGGTTGGAATTATACTTTTAATGAATATGGAGATTAAGGATAAGAATGATTGCTTATTGAGTTTTTTTCGGTGAGAAATGTGCAACATTTAATTATTTCAAACTTATACTGTCAATTGTCGCTTCATATGTAAAATAATGTAAAATCTTTATAATTTCAGTTCTATGCTAAATGCCCTTCACCTAAACATGAATGAAGTTTTGCTTGAATTTATAATGTGTGCATTTAAATGTGAAATTCCAGAAATACAAACACAAGTGAAGGTAATTAAATCTCATTGCATATATAGAAATTTATGTTTTTCTAAGTTTTCATCAGTCCGTCATTTCTTGTTTAACACCTTGCCATTAAAAACAAAACTTATGAAAAATTTAATTTGTTGATCTTTTTCTTTTTTTCTTTCCCTGAGCATGTACCTATCATGTAGTATGCCCTGAGCATGTACCTAGGTTATGAAAACCCTTAACCATACAGCCCAGGACTTGGCCGCTGGTTCAGCTCCACTCCAGCCTAAATAACATGATATTTAGAAGGGAAAAAAAAGATTTTACTGAAAGTGTGGAATTTAAGAAGAAATAAGACAAAAAAAAATATTATACATGTGTAATAGGAAATTATTAAAATTTTAATAGATAGTCATTACCCGCTAAGAAGTTCATTACTGTTATTAAATCTTTTGTTTAAAGTATTGTTTGTAATAAAAGTTTTCTGCCAAATTTCTAAATTTGTTGGGCTAGGTGGACGACTATGCCAGGAGACAGTGTAGGAACAACTAGTGAGATAATGTTCAGGTGAACCTTGTTGGTCGCAGGTGCAAAGATCAGTATCTGTTATATGCAAGTAATTAAAGAAGGTTGGAAATGGTCTGTGACCCGTCAAGAACCAGATGACTTGTTTTGGAGGAATTGTTTTGAAAAAAGTAACATTGTTAATAATTTTGAATAGACGTCTGCCTCTGTCTGAATTATTCCATTGAAATGAGCATTTTGTTAGAAGAGAATCTTTAATACTTCGTTTAAGGTATGAAACTGGAAGTGGGTATACGTAATTTTTTGGTTGTCTCGTAGATTATTTAGCTGAATCATCTGCTTTTTCATTATTTGTTGATTTATAAAAAACTTTTTGTCTATTATACCCTTTGAGCAGAAAGTGCTGAAAACTGGAATAAATACAAGGGAATAATTGATATTTATTGCCGAACTATTAATGTTCACATCTGACTTATGTCTATGTCACAATGAAAATTTTAAAGGCTGTTAGGCTGAATTGTCAGAACGCTGTCTAAACCTCAGTTCCCCGGTTTATACAAAAAACTAGGCTACGTTGCTCAAACGTAGTTTTGTCGAGGTTTAACGAGACTGGAGCAAGACCAAGCTGATTGGATGTATTTGCACTAAAATTTTGCCTTATTGATAAATTTACCCAATCGAGTTGAAGGAGTCGCATCTGTCACTATTTAAAAAAGTCTTTGGATGTTTTGTTTACATTTTGTTGATGAAGTGTGAAAATTAATATATAAATATATGTTAGAACGATTGCATAGTTAATCATGAAAGAATTATTTTTTATGAAATAGTATTTGGTTCTGTTAAATGTTGTTGTGTGTTCATAAGAAAAGTATGCAGAACATTATATTTTAACCATTGAGCAAAGAGCATTGACATATATTCTATTGCAAATAAAACAATATTTATCTGACTTATTTTAGAAAGAAAATGTTAAGAAATAATAGGTTTTTAGATAAGGATTTTAATAAGAAAATAAAAAGTCGAAATAAAAAAGTGCTTTATAAGTAAAACTGATGTATAATAACATGTATGTTTGTTTTTTAATACTTAATTTCTCTACCTATGATTTCAAACGTAGGATGAATTGAAAATGTTACTAACTAAAATACATTGAATAAAAGCAATTTTTTTTTTAAAAAAAATTTCTATCTAAGCAAAAATGAATGAAAAATCATTTTTCTACTGTGCATAAAAAATTTTATAGTTTTGATTGATTTTGCTATGATTTTTGTTAGAACTTTAAAATGAATTTATTTAAAAAAAAGAAAGAAAGATGAGCATAATAAATGACAAACATATTTTAAGTAGGGAGAACATAATACAGTGACCAATTAAGCAATTAGTAAATTATGTGAAAGTAAGTTATGTAGACATATCAACATTGGTATTCCAGACGTAGAAACTTGTTTATAAAATTAGTCTTAAAATAAAATTTCCGAAATAGAACTTAATAATAAATACATTTTTCAATAAATATACAAAGTTAAATTTTTATAAGCCTTACACATATTCTTAAAACCTCATTTTAGTATATTTGTTGATCACATATCACACATGTTAATCACATTAAGACACGGTTCCCAGCAGACCACTGAAGTCAAGCATCGCTGGCTGCAGGCAGTGCGCAGGTGGTGACCACTTGGATCAGTCTGCGTAGGGACCAAGGGTGTGCGGTATCGGTCCTCGTTATACTGTTCTACCGTAAAGTGCTCGACTTCGCGTGCAGGTCGTTGGGCTACCGAAGTGGGGGAGCAATCCCCTCTGTAGAGGATCAAAATTGTGATCGCATGTCTCCGGATCATCCTCAGGGATGTTTCCCAGAAGAAGAAAAAAATATATGGTACTGATAAAACCTTTAAATGTTAAAAAAATGTATGCCACTCTAACTTTTAACTTTTTTTATTGTTTCTTTAGAATTTTTCATTTTTATTTCATTTACTTTATTTTAATTTTTCAGGAATTTAAAAATAGGAAAATATTGAGTACATATAAAAAACATGACAAAGACTCAATACTTGATGCTTACATAGTTCTTCTGGAATGGTGTAATAGTTTTTCTGGTAATTTCGATTTACAAAATATGCATCTTTAAATTTTTTATTTTCTTCTATGTTTGAACCTAAAATTATATGAATTTTATTCAGGTGATATGAACAGATCTCAAAGTCAAACAAATAAAGAAGTTACCAAACTGAAAAAATATACTGAAGATTCAGATATGTTCATTTTACAATTAATTAAGGTAGGTATTGCTGGTATTTTAATAATACAAACTCTCTATGACGTAGCCTATGAACATGAAATGTATTTTTCTATTTTTCATTGCACAACCTAATTTAGTTAATGAATCAATCTTTTCAGAGAATGGCACCAAATGAAGAAGAAAAAATAATAATTCAATCAAGATATTATGTCTATAGATTTTGAAGTTCTGAATATGAATCTCAATGATCTCTGTTCATTCCTGTTCAACTTCAATGATCTCTGATTTATTTCCAAGCTTAATTTCATGATGCATAACAAAAATAAACAAATTTTAGAGTATCCATGTATATTTATTGTATTTCCCATATATACATACATCTAATGTATAGTACATATAGATATGCATGAACATAGGCCATACGAGTATTGTAAATCTATGGATACATTCATTGTTCATATTGCATACATTGGGATAACATGTATGTACATATGTTAAATTTGTATTAAAGATTTAGGTTCAATATATGTATGCACATATGTACAATATATGACTGTACATCTGTACAATAAATACTAGTTAAATGTTGAATGTATTTGTGTACATCTATATGTTATATGTATGTGTATACGTTCACCCAATGTATGAACGATTGTAGATAAATACATATGTACATACATTTTAGTTCTATTCATTCGTACATACGTTGCATATAAATATGTGCAAAATGTATCATTCTATGATACATTATGCTATCTACTGTGAAATAGAATCATATATTGGTATACAATAGTCTTGCAATCATATATTTCGATTAATTGTAATCATAATTATATGTAATCGTATATCTTGATTACTTGTTATCACAATTACAAATAATTGGTTAACTGTAATCGCAATTACAGTTGTAATCAAAATTATGAATGTTAGTAATCATGATTTCAAGTAGTTGATTGCTGTAATTTAGTATTGAAATCACGGTTACAGTTGTAATCAAAATTTGTAATCATGATTTCAAGTAAGTGATTATTGTTATTGAAAAATGTAATCTATTACATTTTTGGCTTACTCTAATGTAATCAAAAATTATGATTAGTTGGAATCGTGATTACAAGTAATGGGCAGTAATTATCTGTAATCAATTACAGTTGTAATCAATTATAGTTTTTTATGCTATTCAATAGTTTTGCTTTGTCTCACATTTTTTTCGGTTGTCTCGNTTGTTTTTTTTTTTTTTTTTTAATATTAAAATGTGAATTTAAAGTATTTTAATAGTTCCATTCAGGTTTCTTTGTTTTAAATAATTTTAGATTTATGAAAGTAAATTTATTTCTTGCTTTTTAATTTTTCCTTGCATTTTCTTTTAGCTAATAGAATTATGTGATAGACAATATGAAATAGAAAATGAGCTTCAAAACTATGTTGAAAGTAATCCTGATAATATTAATGCTCTTATATATATTTGTACATATCTCTACCATAGACATCCAAATTCTGACAACTTGATTAACTATTTAGAGGTAAGTCTTGTTTCTTTTAAATTATAATATTCATATTATAACTTTATATTAAAAATAATATAATGGTTTGTTATATTGTTTTTTATTTTCTCAGTCATTTAAATTGCTTTTACCATAAAGTTAAAACTCTATTATTTTGTAGAGCCTGCAGGCATAAAAATTTTAATCTTAAAGCAGCATCAAAATTTAAAATGTTGGTTTATGTGTTAAAGAAATCCTTTTTCTTTATTCTTTGTTGTTGTCAGTTTTTGTTTATTTGTTGTTGTTTGTGGAACTTTTTAGAAAATAATAACTTTGAAGTATAATAATTCATTATTATTTTGTTTTTATTTTGAGTCAATATATAAACTGAGCATCAACGTTTTTATTAATGGGTAATATATATTTTTATTTTGAGTCAATATATGATGAATGACTTTCAATAATGAATTTGAACAAGAAAGGGTTTATCATTAGAAAAATTATTATTTCAATTTTAACTTTGAATGAAAATAAATTATTTTTCCTTTGAGAAATTTTACAAATGTCTCTCATATTTTTTTCCTAAATTTAGAATTAATTTGAAACTTTGTTGTGCTTTTTTTTAAATTTGGAAATTAAATTTTTAAACGCTTAGTTTCAAAATAATGACTTTTTTAAACAATATATATTATTCAAACATCTATTTTAATTGGAAGGAGACAAAACAAGTCTATTGAAAAATTGGTATAATAATATTGCTTTACCAATACTTAAAATATCTTTCTTTTTTTATCAATTTTTTTCTAATGATGTAATTTTGTATCCAGATTTTAGCTGAGTAATGTATATCAGATGCTAGAACTTTATGAAAAATTGGTATAATAATATTGCTTTACCAATACTTTTAAAAATATCTTTCTTTTTTTTTTATAAATTTTTTTCTAATGATGTAATTTTGTATTCAGATTTTAGCTGAGAAATGTATATCAGATGCTAGAACTTTATGAAAAATTGGTATAATAATATTGCTTTACCAATACTTTTAAAAATATCTTTCTTTTTTTTATCAATTTTTTTCTAATGATGTAATTTTGTATCCAGATTTTAGCTGAGAAATGTATATCAGATGTTAGAACTTTATGGCTCATTGAAATTTGGCAGGAAAAAGGTATAAATTGTCGAATTGAGATTCTGTTTTACCTTAATCATTTGGCAAAAATGGTTTGTGAACTTTCTATAAACTCTGTTAAGATTTGTTTCAACTACCATTTGTACCAAAAGTGACCAACAGTTTAACAAATCAATATAAAAAGTAACAAAAAATATTTAAATGTGTGTTTTACTGCATGCTACTTAGAAAACCAGAAAAATGTTTCGTTATCCCGTTTCTAAATTACCATTAGCTAGCTTTTCTAACTATGAAATAGCTCCGAATTTCATTCCGAATGTCTAATAAGCAGCAGAAAATACTGCTTTATAGTGTGCTCAGTAGTGCCATCCATTAATGAACTTACCTAATAATGAATGTTTTGGCTCAACTTTATTTTTTAAGTATATTTATCTTTTAAATAAGGATGGGTGTAGGTGAGAATCATTGTTTAGTACCTTGATAGATTTTGAAATTGAAAACTATTTTCAGTCCAAATATATTCAGGGCTGATTGTGCTCCGGAAAAAATCAGAATTTCCGGATTTTTCGCTAACCGTGATCTGGAAGTTTTCGGAGATTGAAGGTTAAGACGTTTTAAAAAAAATCATTGATCACACAGGTTTCCGGAAGTCAAATTTTTGAAGGTAGAGCTTAAAAACTCAGTTTATTTTATTTGTTTGTAAGGGAGAGCCAGATACTTTATACGCTTATATTCAAGATAAATATTCATTTTTTTATCAGTAAATAGTTATTATAATCATAAACTCAACAAAGAAAGACATATTTGTAAATATCAATTACTTCTCCAATTCATCATTGGTATGTGTAAATGGTATAGGTATGTGTAAAATTTTAAATATATTTTAAGTAAAGTAAGAAGTATTGAGAAAAAGAAAAAAAACCCTGTTTAAATTTTTTTTCTAATTTTTCGGTTTAAAATTTTTTTTTCTTACTCAAGAAACTTTCTGGAATTTTGACTTGGGCTCACAATCAGCCCTGTTTATTGTTTTGCCCGTTAAGAAATGGAAATGCTAATTTCTAAGTTCATTAAGAATGAAAAAGTTTTTTATTTTTTCAAAGAGTTACATCTTTGCGCCTTATGTTTCCCCCAAAATATGTATAAAGTATGATTATTAAAAAATTTTATTTTTTTTTTTATTGAATTGTATTGTTTTACCTATTTATAACATATTTATTTTATTGTTCAAAATCTTTCAACTTTACATCTTATCTGTAAATTATTTTTTCCAACAAAATATAAATTTAGTAACATTTTGACAATTTCAAAAATGAATCAACCATATGATCCCATTTATTGTTTGCAGGTGTGAGTTCATTAAAAATTCTGAACTACTGTTTTATGTTTCTTGATTATCCAACTAACGGAGAAAATATTAAAGCTTGGAAAGCACTGTGGAAAAATTTGACTGAAGCTCAACAAGAGTAAGAAATATTCCCTTTTATTTTTTCCCTCTTCAGAAATCATAGAATGTATAAGTGATGAATTTTCGTAAGCTGAAATATTTTTAAATGTTCAAGATAGAATATTGTGATTGCTTCTATTTGATTATATAGCTAAAACTGTGGTTTCAGAAAAGATTTTTTTCCAATGACATCAAAAACAGAGTATTAATATTTTGATGAATTAAAATTAAAAGAACTTTTTTACACCTCTACATAAAAATATTTTAACAGCAAAGTAAAGATCAGATTGTGAAATGGTCATGCTCTGTAATCCTTATCAAGTTCTAATAAGAATTCTATCATATATTTTTTTTCTTTAAAAAATCGACTTTAGTTGACTGTCACTAACAAATGTATTTCACAGGATGCTTAAATATTGAAGGGTTATATAGTAAGTACCAAGTGTATTTATATGGGTATAAAATACTATATTGATATATTTGGTGATTATCAAATCTGCTCTAATACTAAGTAGTTTTAAGGGACATGTACCTTTGTAAGGGATATGTACCAGAGAAAATTACTTGATAATGGTAATTTTTTACCATCATGAGTTGGTTGTGAGCAATAGCATCATGACAAGTGATGCTAAATACATTTTATCTTTATTCTAATAGGATGAACTACAAAGAAAGAATTTTGCTTTCTTCAATAATATAAAGCCACGGAAAAAGGCAACAAATAAATAAAATAATTGAAACTATTTAAGCTATATTATTTGAAAAACTTAGTGAAAGAACCAGGAGTGCATTTTCAGATTTAAAAAAAAAAAAAGTTTTATCCAAACTATTTTATTAGACAATGGGACTAATAATTCTTTGTTTTATATTTTTTACCGCTGGCTAATTTGAAATAAAAATCATGCAAGTGTACTAAAAACCAATGGGGATTAGTTATGTTAAAACTGAAATGAAGACAAAAACAATTATGTTACATTAAACATACCCATATTAATGAACTACATTATTTTCTCTCATTATTCATTAATATATTCATTGATTTCCGTAAAAATATATCTTACATGGTTCTTCCATCAAGCTCTTTAATTATGCCAGTATAAGCCTTTCGGTTTAGAGCCTGATTTCGTAGTGCTGATTTATTGATTCATTACCTTTTTTTTTGTTACCCCTTGCAAAGAAAGGGTATTCAGCAAGTATCTTTATAAACTCACTTGAGTCACTCAATGTTGAATATATTTAAAATAGTGCATAAATTGTTCTTATGTTTGCTAATATAATCAGGTAAAGAATTTTTTTAGAAACTAGTTGTTTGGTAATTATTTTGTTAAAATACATAAATATACTTTCAACAATAGGCTCACCAGGTGGCCGAGTGGTTAGCGTGCCTGACTGCACAGCCGATGGTTGCGGGTTCAAATCCCACTCAGGGCATGAATGTTTCTTTCTCTCTGTGTGTTCTATGCCCTTCTGTGTGAATGTAATGCGCTCTATAAACGGGTTTTTGGTTGTATGACGTGGGGGATGCTACTCCACCGGCTTAGCTTAGCCATAGGTGCTCACTGGATAATGGTAAGAGAGTAGCAATTCTGGCATTTCTGAGGCCAATGGGAAATAGACCCAAGTGCCCTCCATTAACCGAAAAAAAAAAAAAACTTTCAACAATAGGAATAAAAAAAAGTCTTAATAGTGCACATGTAAATTATAATTTTTTTAATAAAAAAAGTGCTTAAAATATATTTAAATGTTTAAAAAACAAATGCTTATTTTATGTTGAAAAATTTGGCTACTCATCCTATTGAAACTGACTGTATTTGAAAAAACTTATTAAATTTGTAATAATGGTATATTATGCATTTTCAGTTCTATAGGTGATTTTGAAATTTATTCACTTTGGAAATCAAGAAGGAGATCATGGATGTGGATGTATTTTAATCCTCAAAAGCTACCAGTTACACAATCAAAAGATAAACTTATTGCTTATAAAGTAGCATTTTTGTTAATGTTTTCAGATGGTAATTATAATATATATTATAAACTGTAATTGTTTAGTTTTGTATTTTTAAAGTTAAGTGTATCAGTTTGTTAAGAAAGTTTTACAAAAGATTTTTGAAAAAATTTTACTTACATTTATATTGACATTAATTTAAATGTTATCTTATATTAATACTGTCAAACGTCAGTAAACACCTTAGACTGACAAATTTGCCCACTCAGGAGATGTGTCTGCTTAGTAAAAAGATATGCCAAATGAAAAATCTGTGCTTCAATGAAAATTAGAAATTACGTCAATAAAATCATAAAGATTAAATATCAAAGAAAACAGTGTAAAAATTCAATATCTCTAGAAATCATGCAAAGATGATAGTCTGAAACTGTTTTCGGTTGCTGTCGGTGCAATCTCATTGGCCGGAAAAATCGCATAATAAAAAACAAAGATGATCTAGGCATCTTTAGTTGTCATTAGCATGAAATTAATAACAGTATTTACCTTTAAGTCATTCCTTTTTAATTTCTGGCTTTTATTTATTTTTTATTATTCATAATTACAAGCTTAAAACTATAAATGGTTCTATGAAAGTGTAATTGTATCATATAATATGTCAACAAATGTGTTAAAAAGTAGTATTTGTTCTTCAATAAGTTATTTTTAGTATTTAACAATATATTATATGCAAATTTGTGTCTTGTCAAGTAAAATATTATTACACAATTGCAAAGAAATGCTAGTAACTAATTTTTTTACTATTGCTGAATAATGTCTTTGGGGAAAAGCATTCATTGAGTTTTCAGTGTCTAAAAATCAAAGAATATAAAAAATTTGTTGATGAACAAAGTCAAAATGGTAAAGTATTAAATTTGAATTTCACGTCAATAGTATTGGGAAATGGATCTGTGATTAATGCAATAATTTTTGAAATAAATTGAATAATTAATTATGCTGTGCTATTAATTATGTGTTCTGTTTCTTAATTAATTAATCCCAATAAACTGAAACGGTAAGATATTTATTGAATAAAAACCTTCATTTGTTTTAAAAATATACAAAATGGGAATAACAACCAACATATTTCAAGCACTCATTTTCAAGATTTGCAGGATTGCATAGTGTTTTTAAAAAGTGCTTAAATGTGCTTATATTCGTTTTTTAAAAGCACTTGCAATGGCTGAGAGAGATTAATATATATATAAATGAATGAATGATCAAGGGCCTTACTTTGATTTATTGAATATTCAGCCAATTTATTTTGCTTCCAATAATTTATAATACATAAGAAAATAATAAAAAAATGAAACACATTTTGGTATTTCTAATATTAATTCATTAATAATTTATATTGCTTTGTTTAATGATGATTTAAACAAAACAAGGCTTTCAAATTACTTANCGGTAAGATATTTATTGAATAAAAACCTTCATTTGTTTTAAAAATATACAAAATGGGAATAACAACCAACATATTTCAAGCACTCATTTTCAAGATTTGCAGGATGCATAGTGTTTTTAAAAAGTGCTTAAAGGGGCTTATTTTCGTTTTTTAAAAGCCCTTGCAATGGCTGAGAGAGATTAATATATATATAAATGAATGAATGATCAAGGGCCTTTCTTTGATTTATTGAATATTCAGCCAATTTATTTTGCTTCCAATAATTTATAATATATAAGAAAATAATAAAAAAATGAAACGCATTTTGGAATTTCTAATATTAATTCATTAATAATTTATATTGCTTTGTTTAATGATGATGATGATTTAAACAAAACAAGGCTTTCAAATTGCTTAGCAATAATTAAAAAGTATCGAAGAAAAATATATGAAAAACGAAGTATGTCATGTTTAAGTTAATTTAATATTTTATAGTTGTTATATTTGGAGAACTATTATAGAATAGATAGTGTTAATATTAGGTTTGAATGAAGAAAATTTTAAATGATCCATTATTCAAAACATTTTAAAAAATACACTGAATAAAATAAAACTTTGAACTAGAACCTGACAATAAAAAAAATTTTCTTTGGTTATTTATAAGATGCATCTGTTGTAGTACCCACAATCAAAATGTTAAGCTATAATGCTATAATTTAAAAATAAAATTAAGTATGATTTGTAGATTCATTACATTCAAAATTGGAATTACTTTTATCTAAACGTATACTTTTTTATATAACAGTATACTTTTTTTTTCTTTTTGTATGATTCAATTTTTAACATTGAAAATTTTTCTGGTTAAGTTATTTATCTCATAAATTTTGGTTTCTGGAAAGTTTAAGTACGTTTCCATCATCAAAGAATTTATTAGATGAATGAACTCTGGTAAGTTTTCTAGAAAATAACCTTTTTTTGAGAAGACAATATTAAATAACATAATCATCTTTAAATTATTTTAATTAGTATTATTTATTACTATTTATCAAATGTAATGTGAACTAAGTCACAATAGATGATGATTTATGATGATTAAAGTATATGCTAAGGTAAAATTAATATATTCTCAAACATACTTATCAGTCATTTATTTCGAGATCTACTTTCACTTTTTTAACAGTAACTTTAATCTGCACACTTTTTTATAAAAAAAAATGACTGCTTCAAATTATAATAATACATTTATAAGTTTATGCAATTTCACAAGATTTAATTCATCGCTTTTAAGTCTTGTGAAAATGTATGAATAAACTTTTGCAATAGTTTCCGATTTGCATTGTCTTATACTGAATAATAAATATATTATTTATTGAAGTTATGCTGCAAGTACTATTTAGTATAATATAATTTTTTAAACTTTACTAAAATAAATTTTTTTTTTATTCCAGGGAAGAAATATATTAAGAAAGTTTTTAAATACCATCCTGCTACCTTTGAACTGGGTGAATCACTAAAAAATTTTACCTGTGTTGATGATCTACAATTTATTAAATAAAGATACAAAAACTCAATTGGACTTGTATTTTTTCTTTAAATCTGAATTTATCATGGTTATTGAATCTATGAGGGCAAAAAATGATTTTTCCATCTGCTGTGTTTTATATGTGGTACAAACTTTTCATTTATAAATTCCAGATGTATCATTTGCTTTATTGATATTTGAATCAATTCTGGAATTTTCTAAAAACTTGAACACGTAGATTATCCGATTCATTATTGGTTAATAATCCAGTATTCTTCAGCATTGAATTTTCTATGAATTTCCTTGTCTTCCAACAATATAATACATTGTTTTGTTTCTGGAGCATTTAATACTGTCACATTATGCACTATTTTAATTTATTTTTAAACTAGAAAAAAGCAAGTGGGAATTTTTCACATAAGAATATGTTAATTCTATATAATCTTTCTCCAACTGAATGTCATTTTGTGTCATCAATTTAAATCGAATAAGGTGTTTTATGTTTCCACTAACATCAAAACAGACAACAACAAAAAAACGACAAAATGTTTCCATCTATTGTACCTCATGCTTAGTTATTAATTGAAAAATTTCCCCATAAACTTGTATTTTTGGTTACAGTCAAGGTAGATCACTCAATGATAGCTTCGTTTTTTGACATATATTTTAGGTAAGCATTTTTAAGAATTGAATTGCATTATAATTTAGTGCGTAAAAATATCTCTTTATATTTGCTAATAATAATGCTGTTGTGGATTACATATTTTGTACAAACTTTGATAAAAAGGCACTGTACGACAAATAAGGGAACTGTAGTATTGTTCCAGAGGAAACTTTGAATTTCATACAATGCAAAATCTATTTAAGCGTTTTATTTTCTTAATTCTGGAAATTTCGGAGAAAAAAATTTTTTTTTCTCCTCTGATTCTTACAACCCTTTCTTTCCTTGCCTTTAATATATCACCACAAAGGAGCTGAGTAATTTATTTACATATTTTTTCGATGTAAATACAAAATATATATGTGTATTATTTTCAAGAACTTGAATTTATTAAAATTTATATATATTCAAAATATTACTTCTGGAAGTTTTAGAAATTTAGCGTGTAACTTATATATAATAATAGATTAAACTAGGCAACAAAAAAAGTCGCCTGATTTACTGTGTTTTGTGAAAATTTAAATTTTGTGATTTCACATGTGGGACGAAATATATTCTTCAATATTTTTATAAAATAAGTTTCTAATAGATCCCAAGCCATGTCAGGATTCGTGGTAATGAGGAAGCAGATTCACTAGCTAAATCAGATCGTATTTGTCACATCTCGTCTCCCCGTAATGAATTATAAAGCACTAATCTAAACGAAATTTAAAACCTCAAGAAAACTTTACAGTGGTATAGCTGCTGGAAAAAGTTGAAACGTCGCATGCAAAATAAAAACCTTCTAATTTACTGAGGAAGATGTCTGCTTTTGAATGTTGACAGATTATGATTTCCTCACCATCTCAATAGTATCGGCATTGTAGCCTCTGCCCATTGTTTTGGGGTAGTTCTATGAATGGACAACATTTCTTTGTGTACAACAAATTGAATATATAAGCATCGCCTATTTTCGAATGTATACTTCCCCTTCTAGTTTTTTGCATGCTTATTGAACAGTTAGACAGTGCATGGCTGATTGGCCCTGGGTGGGCATAGTTAATAAAAAAAATATTTTGTTTGTGTTTTTGAGAAAATTTGTATAATTTCAATGAATTTTTTTAATAGGTATAAATCAATATGAAATTTGAAAACATAATCATTTAATTGTTATTGAGATCCATTTTGTCTATCCTGTGCAGGACAGATACTCTAAGCAACTCCAACTATTTGTTTGTTTGTTTTTAACAAAAAATTATTTTAATTTCATAAAATAATGAGGAAACTAAGAACAGTTAGTAACTTAATCTAAGCGTAGTTGATTAACTGGTCAAAATAAAGTTTCATGACTTAAAGTTGATCCTAGAAAAAAACAGTTCTGATCCTAAAAAAAAAAAAAAAAAAAAAAAAAAAAAAAAAAAAAAAAAAAAAAAAAAAAAAAAAAAAA